CCCCCCGCCCTCGAACCCCCCGGTCCTCCACACACACCCCCAACCGGCCCTCGACCCCCCGGCTGTCACTCCGCCATATCCACGTCCCTCTCAGCAGCCCCAGGAAGTCTCGCTGAAATCGTGCTTTCTGTTGCAATGTTCACTTTTTTCAAAGAAAACACAAACACCTCCCTCCTCCATTAAAACAATCAGCAGACTCAGAAAACATGATACTTTACTGTTTCTGAATGGGTTTCCTTCTTTTCCTTCCCGCATACATGCAGTCCCCTGGTGGAATCATCGTCTTTGGCCCTAAAAAAGAAAGGGAGCATCAAGTTGGGCCCATCCCCAGGGCCATCAAAGGCAGGAACATCAGCGAAAACCACCTGCCCTGGTGGGGGGGGGGCGGGCAACCTTGCCCCGACAGCCCCAACACAGGCTGGCTGACGGGGGAAGGGGGCAGGTGGCCATCTGAGCAAGGCCGCCTGCCTGTGGGAACCACTCGCACTGGTCTGCCCTGAGCAGGAAGATGCTGGAAGGACCCAGTGAGGCTGCACAACCTTCAGCAGTGACTCCTGCACTCAAAGCCACAGGGCCACGTGGTGAGTACAGAACAGGCCATGCTCACATCCTCTGCAGCTTGGCCTCTCCAGTGACACTGCCCTTTGGCAGGTAGTGTCAGGTCCCAGCCTGGGCCATAGGGCCCAGTGTCCACCCAGTCCTGCAGAGAAACAGCCCTCTGCTCCAGAGCCTGGCTCAGTCACTGAGGTGATGAGGATTGGATGGAGTCATAAGGGTGGAGCCCTGGTCCCATGGAACTGGGGCCCTTATAAGAAGAGGAAGAGACACCAGAGCTCACTCTCTCTCCACTACGTGAGGTCACAGCAAGAAGGCAGCCACCTGCAAGCCAGGAGGAGCCTCACCAGAAACCAAAGCAGCACCTTGATCTTGGACTTCCCAGCCTCCAGAACTGAGAGAAATACATTTCCTTTGCTTATCCACCCAGTCTATGGTATTTCATTAGAGTAGCCCAAGCAAACTAAGACAAATATTATCCCTATAAATTCAGCAACTTAGATAAAATGAAGGAATTCCTTGAAATACACAAAGTACCAAATTTCACTCAAGAAAAAAAAGATAATCTGAATAGTCCTATATCTATTCCAACAAAGAAAACTCCAGGCCCAGATGATTTCACTGGTATATTCTTTTTTTTTTTTAGTCCTTTTCGAGACCGGCCACACCGCGCTCAGCCAGTGAGTGCTGTGAGCGCACCGGTCATCCCTATATAGGATCCGAACCCGCCGCGGGAGCGCTGCTGCGCTCCCAGCGCCGCACTCTCCCAAGTGCGCCATGGGCTCGGCCCTTCACTGGTATATTCTACCAATTTATTTTTTTATTTTTATTTTGTGGCTTGCCAGTACAGGGATATTCTACCAATTTAAAGAAGAAACAATACCAATTTATGGAATCTCAGGCAGAAAACTGAAGAAAAAAATTTAAGTTGGCAACTCATTTATGAGCTCAGCATTACTCTGACACCGAACCAAAGACCTTACAAGAAAAGAAAACTGTAGACCAACATTCTTCATGAGCATAGACACAAAAATCCTCAATTAAAGATTAGCAAATGGAATCCAGTAATATATAAAGAGGATAACACATCACAACCAAGCAGTATTTACCCAAGGAATTCAGGGCTGCTTCAATATCCATCAATCACTGTAATTCTCTATATTAATTAGCTAAAGAAGAAAATATATATGATCATCACAATACATGCAAAAAAAGACTGGACAAAATCCAAATCCATTTATGATAATTTTTTAAAAAAAAACTCTTGTCAAACTATGAATAGAAGGAAACTTAATTAACTTGATAAAGGGAATCTACAAAAAGCCTACAGCCAACATCACACCCCACACTGAAAGATGGAAAGCTTCCCCTGAGACCACAATCAAGGCATCAGCACTCCCATTAAACATTTCATTTGTGTACTAGCCAAGGCGATAAGTTAAGAAAAATAAATAAAGGTCATAAAACTGGGAAAGGAAGAAATAATGCTCTATCTGTTCACAGACAACATAATTGTACATGTGGAAAATTCCAAAAATTTTACTGAAACTAATCTCCTATGACTAATTACCCAGTTCATAAGGTCATAGGGTAAAAGGACAATATACGAAAGACACTTGCATTTCTATATACTAGCAATAAACAATTGGAATTCAGGTTTTTAAAAACCAGTACCATTTACAATAGCACCCAATTAAAAATGAAATACTTAAGTATTTCAAGAGGCATAACATGTGTGTAACTGAGCCATAAAGAATAGGAGGGGAGGGCCAGCCCGGTGGCGCACTGCTGTAGTGCGCCGCTTGGGAAGCGTGGCGGTGCTCCCGCCAAGGGTTCGGATCCCACATACAGACCGGTTCCCACTCACTGGCTGAGCGAGGCGCGGGAGCAACACCGAGGGCTGTGATCCCGTTGCCGGTCCCGGTTGCCGGTCCCGGTCCGGTACGGGGGCGACACTGAGGGTTGCGATCTGTTGCTGGACACGGAAAAAGACAAAAAAAAAAAAAAAAAAAAAAAAAAAAAGGGGGGGGAAAGGGGGGGAAAAAAAAAAATT